TGAGCATCAACCCAATCTTTTAATTAATTTTATAAATATTTTTACTTACCTACTGAGTAATTTTATTATGGATCGTGTAAAAAATTGATATAGCGAGCGCTACAAACAGAAATGTGTAAGCAGCTAGAACACCAAAAAAGGCAACCAACCAACCTTATAATGATCAATAAAAAGAGAGGGATAGGTGCAGCGCTTAAATCAGAATACAAAGGAGTACTCTAATATGCATGTAAATCTCAATGATCAAAAACAATTTAAAAGTAAATGCAGATGTGATACAATGGTGAACAGTGCGCTGATCCATGGAATATGTCAAAGCACACATAAAGTCCTCATCCCAGATCAGTGGTAAGAAGAGAGGTGAAGATCCTATAGGCAGATGGAGTGCGCACTCACCAGAAGTGCGTATAAACAACGCATGTAGAGAGGTAAAATCAGCAGAATATCTCCGGCATCAAAACTCTGGTCAGATTGCACTCCGTACCATCCTCTGTCTCACCGCGAAGAGCAGTAACCAGGATTCATCAGACAATGTGGGCGTCAAAGGTACTCCTTAGTCCAGATAGGCACATGAATTGATGGCCACATATAGTGGCTAGATGTCCATGTGCTGTAGCCCCTCTGACGCGTTTCGTGCGATGCACGTTCTCAAAGGGTCAGGGCTACTTATTATGGATCATTTCACACAGTTGTCCTCCGGTCCATTCAGCAGGGAGACTGTGAACAGATTCCCTGATAATTCGAGGCAGAATGGGACTTTTGTGACATCTGTGCCTGTTCATTTTTTCTTTCATTTTGCAACCAGACTTTGCTACTGGGTGAAAATGAACTTGCATCTGTTTGAATGATTCTTAAAGCAGAGTTCCACTCACGTTGTAAAAAAATAAGTCCGCAGCTACGAAAACTGTAGCTGCTGACTTTTTAAAAAACAGCCACTTACCTGTCCCGCGGTGTGTCCCCTGCAGCCCATTTCACCAGCCATCCTGTATTCCAGGAGGCCGGCATCTTCAGTGTGGGCACCCAGCTGTGACAGCTTGTGGCTTCACAGCCGGGTACCCACTGCGCATGCGCGAGTAGTGCTGCGGTTCATGAATGGTCCTGTAGTCTTCTGGGACCTGTCACATGTCCCAAAAGACTACAGGGAGGGAGGACACCTTCCGCTTCTGATCGCCTGGGCGATCAGACAGGAAGTGGGAGCGGGTACCTGTCAAATGTGGGAAATGAAAAAGCACAAAGTCCTTTTTTTTTTTTTTTCTTTTTTCAGAACCGGACAGACCCAGAGGTAAATGGATGTAAACAGACACCTGTGTAATATATCCACCTGCCCATAAACCAACATGAAATGTCTGATTAGGCCTGCCTGAAAATCAGGTGGACCTGATCAGAAAGCCTGTATGACCCTAGGTTCACACCTAAGCGTTTCGCAGAAACGCAGTACAGTCCATTTAACATAATTTCCTATGGGACGGGTTCACATGTCCGCATTTTCACCCGGTGTGTTTTTTTGGAATGGGTCAGGTACTTTTTTGAATGCAAAAAATTGCGTTTTTGGTTCTATAGACTTCAATGGAAGCTCTGCAGAAAAGAATGTAGTGTTTTTTGCTGAGTTTTTGCTGCATTTTTGAAGCATTTGCTTTTTAAATCTGCCTAGCAACAAGAATTTTTTTTTTTAAAACGCAAAGAGCATCAAAAACACATATGCAAAAACGCAATGCAAAATGCTCTGCAAAAACAGATCAAACGCAAACTGCATAGGTGCAGGACTATGCGGACTTGTTGCAGGTGCGGGAGCCGTATCTGTTTTCGCAACCAACCTCTGCCAAATTACGCTCCCCGTTTTTTGAGCAAGATTTTTTTTTTTTGTGTGTAAAAAAAAAAAAAAAAAACGCAAATGCGGAAAAACGCAGCTAAACACTAATGCACAAACGTGACTTTACACAGCTAACACTACTAATGTTATTAAACGCCCAGTGTGCATGGATCCTTAAACTGAGTTCTGGGATTAACAAATATTTTCTAAACAAAAGAGTTTTGTGTATTCTTACTGGAATCTGTGGGTGTTTTGTGTATTTTCTTCCAGATCTTTGCAGTAAACTTGCAGTGTGAAACTTGCTTCCTGCAGTTAAGACCGGTCTCTCTCCTTGTGCAGGGTGACTGGTCTTGTATCTGCCCACTTCTTGTAGTTTTCTGCAGGTATGCAACACAAACACCCCCACATGAAAAGAAGTCTCAAAGAGAACAATCTGCAGCTTAGAAAAGAAGCTGAAGATGCTCACGTGACTCGGTGGGCAAAACGCGTTGACGTCACAGCGTCCCGGACATTCAGACACCCCCATTTGGCTTTACCAATCAGCCGCACCACACTGGATCTGCCTCTGCAGTCTCATTCACACTCATCTCTGCATGGAATGCATGACCAGTGGCACCATACAGCCAATTGGGATCCATCGGGATCGGTGACCGTATCTGGAGCAGTGAGCTTATACTATTGGCCCGGGTTGTGTCCACATTGGAATGTATCCTTTGGATTGTGATTGCTCAGCTGAGCGCTACACATCTGGTGACTCTTCAGTTGGAAGCTTCGACAAGCTGCGTTTCATTATATCCTCACCCATAGGTCACTGTCATCTGTGGCTGCCGTCTATCAGTGCTGGATTTATGTTAAGCTCACAGTGATTATCTGCCGCTGTCAGTGCTATCATTGCCATACCTTACATGGGGCCCCCGGGCAATAGGGGTTCATGGGGCCCCTGTGTCCTTGCCCAAACTCAAAAAAAAAGCCTATGAAAAAGGTACCAGGGGCATCTCATGGGGCCCCTACTGACCCCAGGCCCTCGGGCAGTGCCCGAGTTCCCAAATGGTCAGTCCGCCCCTGATCCTTCATCACACCCCAGCACCCCTTACCATTACATACTTTCAGTGCTGGAGGAGCCAGAACTGCGTTCCCCCGCATTCCAGCTGAATAAAAGCCCAGTATATGGGCATATGTATGGGCTACAGAAATAGCTGGGAACTCTCCTGATCTCACCCAGGGACTCCAGCTAATTAGATTTCCAGAAGTAGTAACCGCAACGTTACTTTTCCTCACAGCCAGGCACCAGGAGCTTGTTGTGCTCTCTCTTCTCCAACTCTTCCAAGCCAATGCACCCCTCTCAGTGCTGTTCCCCACAGTCATATAAAGAGGTAAGGGCTGCAAGAAGAGGAACACCAGCAGTGGCAGCACAGGCACCCTGTTCTACAAACCACCTCCAATACTGCTATATCCTTGCTAAGCTTGGCCAACAGTATCAACTTTTCATTATTGTAGCTGGCCGAGGTAAGTTTGGAGCAACTGGGATCAGTGCTGCCTGTCTCCAGGGTGTTACAGTTACTGGGAGTCATGTGTACAATCTCACAAATACCCAGCTCATTTCAATGTGGTACAAGGCCACCATATGGTCCTTTCCCTTGCCCAGCCTCCCACCCTACCCTAATCCCAGGCTCACCAGCTTTGGAAAAAACCCAGCTATGCTCACAGCAAGAAATACATTGTTCTGCAGTATGAATAAGGTCTGTCTGTTGGACTGAAACGCGTTAGAATTAACTGTGCCATGGAACAATTTTACTCCTTTATGCAAAAAAAAGATTTTTCTACATTCATCTGTTGCCGACACTCTTTTGATTTGGACACTTATATGCAAGCAGAGGGAGACTGCAGGTCGGACACGGTGAGATCATATGCTTTCAGTCTAATATATCTGATCAGGTTGTAGCACTCTATCTCTGTTTGGAAGTACATTGTACTGCAGTGCCTGTTCTTATTCACAGAACGTCTACATAAATTTCCTAGCTATTAGCTTATATTTTTTTTATGAGAAAGCATTAGACTGGTCAATAAACTGGAATTCCAATAACATACCCGCAGGTAGCAAAACAGTCACATTTACTTTCTACTTGTCATCAGTTGCAGTCCTGGAGTGTAAAGCAACTCTTGTGTGATATTACCCTCTTGTGGTGACAAATAGGAAATACAATAAACGTTTGGCTGTACCGGTTTATGTCTACACTGAAAGGGATTTTCCACTTTTGTGTCAAATTTGAGAAAACCACACTATACGTTTGTTATGCATTCCCATTCTCACAGCATACCGCATACATTTTTTTTTTAATTGTTTCTTATCTTTTTAGATGTTTCATGGCGGATTCTAAGAATTTCTAGACAGTCTTATGGGGGTTGATTTAATAAAACAGGAAACTGCAAAATCTGGTGCAGCTCTGCATAGAAACCAATCAGCTTCCAGGTTTTAAATTGTGGTGCTGCGCTAATAAACTATATGTGAACCCCAATACGTGATATTCAGTGAATGGGTAAACTTTATCCCCTTAGAAATCAATTAAATCAAAATATTGCATATGCCCCAAAATATACCTCTACACCACCTCTACTAAGTGAGTACATAAACAAAATATTCCACACATACATACACAATAATTATACACATATATTGAATGCCGTGATGCCGAATGAACTGAACGGCAACACCAGTGAATAAATAAAGTGACATAAACGCATGTAAACTTTACATGCCCTGGATAAGCAGTTTGAAAGAAATAATAGTGATCCCACTAGGGGATAAAAATCAAAGTGAATCAGTGAAACCACTCCTTGTGGTAAACATGAGAAAAACAAAGGAAAAGAGGAATCAAAAAGGTAAACGCATGTATATGCTCAAAATGATTTGTGAATCTAAACAATGCCAGTGATCTCACTATGGGATAAATACAGTGGATCTGTGAAACCACAAATGGTGGTAATTGTGAAAGAGAAAATCAGGCTCACCACCTGTAAATCATTAACCGCAAGCCTACAGGGCACTTATACCCCCTTCCTGCCCAGGCCAATTTTCAATTTTCAGCGCTGTTGCACTTTGAATGATAATTGCGCAGTCAAGGAACACTGTACCCATATGAAATTTTTATAATTCTTTCGTGACAGATAGAGCTTCATTTTGGTGGTATTTAATCACCTCTGGGTTTTTTATTTTTTCTTAAACAAACCAAAAACCACAGAAAATTTTGAAAGAAACAAAACATTTTTTCTTAGTTTTTGTTATAAAATTTTGTAAATGAGTGTTTTTTCTCCTTCACTGATGTGCGCTAATGAGGTTGCACTGATGGGCACTGATAGGTTACACTGACAGGTGGCACTGGTAGGTGGCACTGATGGGCATTGACAGGCATCACTGATGGGCACTGAAAGGCAGCACTGATATATGGCACTGATAGGAGGCACTGACTGGCACTGATAGGCGGCACTGACAGGTGGCACTGACTGGCACTGATAGGCGGCACTGACTGGCAGCACTAATAGGTGGCACTGACTGGCATTGATAGGTGGCACTGACTGGCACTGATGGGTGACACTGAAAGGCAGTTCAGATGGGCACTGATATGTGACATTGATGTGGCACTGATGGACACTGACAAGTGGCGCTGCTGGGGCTACACAGATCATCAGCGCCCTGATGATCAGTGTAGATGTCCCCTCTGAGGAATGCCGATTACCGGCTCTCCTCTCCTCTCGAGCTGTCAGCGTGACAGCTCGTGAGGAGAGAAATGCCGATAACTGGAATTTCCCTGTTTACATGTGATCAGCTGTGATTGAACACAGCTGATCACATGACCGAGCCGACATCTTCGGCTCTTTCTATGGACCGGTTATCCGCTGTGTCCGAGGGACACAGCACACCGCCGATCGCCACGTTGCGCGGTTAGAACGCGAGGATGTCATATGATGACGTCCTCCCAGAATGAGAGAACCACCTTGCGTCCGTCATATCACTATATGGCGGGCGGGAGGTGGTTGACAATCACTTAAATAAATGATAGTGACCCCCTACTGGATACCCTGATGAAGTCACGTGACATCGTGATGTAACGCATGGGCTCGTGGTGACTCAACTTCCAGGGCGGACGCCATCTTGGAACTCCTATTGAGGTCAATGTATTAGTACACCCACAGCATGTGGATAGGTACTAAAAGCTTATAATTTCAAGTTAAATGTGAGTGGGATTTGATACGTGTTTATCTATTTTGAGTCATTAAACGTTAATGCACTATGGGAGCACTTTGCATTCTCTTTCTGGGCGAATGAGGAGCTATCACTTCTAGGACCACTAAGAGGAGCTGTATGTGGGACCTTGGCCTTCTTTCACAATTACCACCATTTGTGGTTTCACGGATCCACTGTATTTATCCCATAGTGAGATCACTGGCATTGTTTAGATTCACAAATCATTTTGAGCATATACATGCGTTTACCTTTTTGATTCCTCTTTTTCTTTTTCTCATGTTTACCACAAGGAGTGGTTTCACTGATTCACTTTCATCCTCTAGTGGGATCACTATTATTTCTTTCAACCTGTTTATCCATTGGCATGTAAAGTTTACATGCGTTTATGTCACTTTATTCACTGGTGCTGCCGTTCAGAAGTTCATTCGGTATCACGGCATTCAATATATGTGTATAATTATTGTGTATGTATGTGTGGAATATTTTGTTTATGTACTCACTTAGTAGAGGTGGTGTAGAGGTATATTTGTGGGGCATATGTCATATTTTGATTTAATTGATTTATAAGGGGATATTGTTTACCCATTCATTGAATATCATGTATTGGGGTTCACATATAGTTTATTAGCGCAGCACCACAATTTACAATTCAGGTTGACCATTTTTATTGGTATATGGTTAGGTGTTAGCAGCTTAAGCCACAGGTTCACAAGTTCAGGAGGACTTTGATTACTATATCTTCCAGGTTTTATTGTCAAAGCTTAATTGAATGAGCTGAAGTGAGAAGCTGATTGGCTACTATGCACAGCTGCACCAGATTTTGTATTCTCTGTTTTTAGTAAATCAACCCCTAAGGCTGGCCATACATTATACAATTATCTTCCAATTTTTTGCCCAATTTCCTTTAGATTTCCCTTCAACTGTGTAGTGCAAGGGCCTGCCTAATTGGATACAACTGAAAGTGTTGTTTAGGTTTGTCTTCCTATTATATGGTTTTTGGTAAATCTAAACCAAAAATCTCCAGATAATTGTATAATGTATGGCCAGCCTCAGTGTCTTTGTACCCACACAGACTCTAGCTATGCCTCATACAAAGCAGGAGGTCAGTTTCTACATTTTTAACCCTTTGTTATGACAAATGGTGTTCAAATCTAGTTTACAGCTGATTATGAAGAACTCGGAACACAGTACAAAGAGTGTTAATTATGTTAAATGTTACTGCACAGCCCCCTCCTAAACAGCCAAGGTTTTTTTTTCCAAGTTATGCTATGTTCTTGGGATCGTATAACAAATATAAAGTAGGTGTTATGCCAATTTGACTGCAAAAGTAGAGATACACTGAAAGCAGCGCTCCACCCAAAAGGGGAAGCTCCACTTTAAGGCCTCCTACCCACTCCTGTTTGTGAAATGGAGCTTTTGGGGAGGAGGGGAACCCGATTTTGATAGGTACCTGATTCCACTTCCGCTCCGACTGCCTAGGCCAGAGGTCCTCAAACCAAATACGCTAAAGAAATTTACCCAGCCCGCCGAAGAAAAAAAATGATGCTGGCCAGCAAATAGCTAGGCTGCTCGCTGGGTCCTCGGCCATGGCAGCCTGGAAGTCCCTGATTTCACCCGCTGCAGCCGGAGGAGCAACAGGAGAGGAGGAGGAGCGCACACCAGGTACAGTGCATTGTGGTATCCAGTGCGTTACAGTGTACAGTGCATTTTGGTGTCCAGTGTGTTACAGAGTACAGTGCATTTTGGTGTCCAGTGTGTTAGTGTGCATTGCGGTGTCAAGTGCTTTACAGTGCATTTTGGTGTCCAGTGCGTTACAGTGTACAGTACATTGCTGTGTAAATACATAAAACTAATAAAACATAAAAGTGCAGTGCTACACGTTCAAAAGTACTACTAAACATAAAAAAATTATAGTGTCCAATAATGTGCAAAAAAACTTGAATTAAACGTAAAGTCCTTAGTGATAAATGAAAGTTCAATTAATTTCAGAAAAAATTTTGCTTCCAAAAAAAAAATGCAAAAAAAATGTGTATATATATATATATTAAAAATAAACTTCTTGGGGATCCACCATCAGCACCTCCAAAAAATACTGCCTCTTACCAGACTTATGTGACCCCACAATTAAGTGACGGTCAAGAACAGCATAGTACGGATATCAAATTAGGATGACGAACTCCGTTACTGCTGACTTTGGGAGGATACGGTGTGCTCCATACACTGGATGTAGATAGACACCAATAGGATCACTCTCATTGGATTCCCAAATCAAGGCATGAGCTCCCAAACTGATACTTCAGATAAATTGCCAAATATATACCTAAATAATGAATTATCCTCAAAGAGAGGTATTTTATGTGACTCAAGTATTTGCCAGCCCAACTGCAGGGATACATCGGTGGGAGAAGCTTCTAGTCCTCTTCTGCTGGCCACATGTTGAAAAAAAGCCCTCATGCAGCTGAGTGTGTTATGCAAACTTTCATTTATCACTAAGGACTTTACGTTTAATTCAAGTTTTTTTTTGCACATTATTGGACACTATAATTTTTTATGTATTTTTTTTTATGTTTAGTAGTACTTTTGAATGTGTAGCACTGCACTTTTTTGTTTTGTTTTTTTTTATATAATTTTGTTGTCGTTTGCACATTTGGATATTATTTATTCATATTGTTTCACTTTATTGATCTGGTACACCATTAGTTTTGATAGATTTTTATACGCTGCACTGTTTTATTATTTACACAAGTATTGAGATTTTGTCACTTTCTTTTTGTGCAAGCTGCTTCCATGTCTGTAGCGCTCGCCATTTATCTTTGAATTTGTAGACCCTCAGTATTGGTGTTTGCCCATACCTCCCATAAGGGCAGGCAGTTATTGAAAAGCAGAAAGAATCAATGATCTACGAGGATCCTGACCAGCGCCCTTGCAGTTTATTGAGAACTGCGAGCTGTCTGCCGCGGTGGTACCTCCATCAATGATGCGAATGAATGATGCGATTGTGTGGGCGGAGCCCCGCACAGCTGCACTGTTTTTAAAATATGACAACAGGTGCAGGGAGAGCATCCCTTGCCCGCTGTCACTGGAATGGGGGAGGGGGAGGGAAAAGAGAGCTGCTCTAGTAACATATTACAGTACACCCTAAATATGGGTGTAACATGTTGCAAAAGGTAAACTTACCCTTTTAAATAATACACAAGCAGCAAGAAAGGTGTGTTTTTTTTTTTTGTTTTTTTTTTTTTTTTTTTTTTTTTCTCTTAAGCTCACAGGACTAAAACCTGTCGGGAGAGAAATGAGTGGACGGCTATTGCTGACCACTGATTTTGAAAATGCTACGTGCCTGAAATGATACTTTTGGCTTCAAACGTTTAAGCCCCCTTACACCATGCGTTGCAGTAACATAATATTTTACTATATATTAATATGCGCTGCACTCGGGCCCCCTGTAGTGTCCTGTGCTGTGTAATAGAAGACTGAGCGCTCATACACAGCAGCAGACAGAGCGCCCCTGTTGTCAGTCTATTTATCTCTGCTGCACCCTGGAGGGTGTACTTACTAGTATCTTCTGAATATGTAAACCACAGTTTCTATAAAACACTTATGTTTTTAAATAGGTTCAAATATCTGCACTGATTTGCTGTGTGACATTATTAAACTACTGGGCCTAGTTGATTACATTCAAAATACGGTGCCTCTCATTCTACAGCTCCCTGGCAGTGCCTCTCACTCTGCATCTCGGGCAGTGCTTCTCACTCTTCAACTCTTACACATTGCCTCTTACTCTCCAGTTCTCAGGGAAGTGCCTTTCACTCTCCAGCTCTCTGGGGTGGGCAGTGCCTCTCACTCTCCAGCTCTCTGGGGGGCAGTGCCTCTCACTCACTCTCCAGCTCTCTGGGGTGGGCAGTGCCTCTCACTCTCCAGCTCTCTGGGGTGGGCAGTGCCTCTCACTCTCCAGCTCTCTGGGGTGGGCAGTGCCTCTCACTCTCCAGCTCTCAGGACAGTTACTGTCACTCGCCCATTCTCAGAGCAGTGTCTTACTCTCCAGTTCTCGAGGCACTCCCTCTCATTCTCCAGTTCTCAAGGCAGAGCCTCTCACTCTTCAACTCTCAGAAAGCACTCTCCTTCTCTTGGGCAGTGCCTCTCACTCTCCTTCTCTTGGGCAGTGCCTCTCACTCTCCATCTCTCTCTGGCAGTGTCTTTGCTATCACTGGAAGAAATATTGGTCCATCATTGATATCCGTGTATGGAATAGGGCCCCATCATTGATATTAGTCTG